AAGCTTAATTTGTGTGCTTACCGACCGCGTATATTCTGGATGTTTGTAGAATACATTCTCTACTTTGAATAAAACTTCTTGCTTTTGTTAACCAGGCCTAGGACAATGGGATTAGAATAGCCTATTGTTTTCACTGACTCATTGCTGTTCGCTCCATTTACCGAGTAAGTGAACTCGCACAGAATTCAAGCACATCAACTGGCAAGCGTATCATAACTTTAATCTGATACAATTTGTTACGACTACGATAGAAATGTAGAAGTATTAGACGGCTTTTTTCGTTCAAGTGTAGGACTCCACATTGGGTGCGCATCGACGACCCTACAAGCAGTGATTAAACCTAGAACTCACAGTCTCGTGCGCAAGTATTCAACCTCTGAACCACTGGGGTCGGTATCCATGGTGTCATGTTTAACTTCAAGCAATCCACCGAACTGCGCGACTATTATCCGCTGTCGTAGGTTAGGTAACTGAATTACACACGAAACGGGTGAATTCCATTGGTTGCGGCCTCTTACTAGAATGCTGAAAATTCCCTCATCAAGTTACACATAAACACTGCTCAGTGCAAGTGGTCAATAGTTCAAGCGTTTGCACGCAAGACTGAAGTCCAAGGTTCAATTCATACCTGCAGGGTTGTGATGAGCACCTGATGATGACTTCTATTCTAGGATGCCACAGGAGCCCATTTCTTCCAGGTCTCTAATGGTAGTAGTCCGACATTGGTGGATCCAAGATTTCAACAATAATACGTGCATCTCATTTATTTATTATGTTAAATTGTCCTCTTATTGACACAGAGCTCTTTCGTTCACGCACTATTAACCGAAACCTCAAGTGTAAGTATTTTAGACTTAAAAATCAGTCATTTACAAACATCCTTACAACACATGACTTCACGAGATACCGTTACAAATAAGCTACAGTATTCATATTAATACAATCTTCGTAACAACTTGCTTACTTACTTACTTACTTACGCCTGTTACCCCCAATGGAGCATAGGCCGTCCATCAGTTTTTTCAAAACACTCTGTCCTGAGCTCGCTTTCCAGTTCTGTCCAATGTTTGTTCATTCTTCTCCATATCTTTCTCTGTTTCTCGGCTGTAGTGTGTTCTTTTGCCTTCCTCTTTTCCTTTCGCCTTGAGGTTCCATGTGGGGGCTTGCCTTGTTGACGCAGTTAGGTGCTTTTCGTAGTGTGCGTCCTATCCACTTCTACCACTTCATCCTGATTTCATCCTCCACTGGCGATCTGGTTTGTTCTCTCCCACACAGTAAGTTGTTTTGCTGATCGTGTCTGGCCAACGAATACGAAGTACTTGCATAGACAACTGTTAATAAACACTTGTATCTTCTGGATGATGGTTTTCGTAGGTCTCCAAGTTTCGAGTCCATACAGTAGAACTGTGTTGACATTTGTATTGAAAATCCTGTTTTTGGTTGAAAGTTGTTTGGAGTTGCAGATATTTTTCAACTGTAGAAACGCAGCCCTTGCTTTGCCAATCCGCGCCCTCACATCTGCATCGGATCCCACCTTGATTGTCGATGATGCTGCCAAGATATGTAGAGGTGTTAATATATAGTGTGTCGATTTATTGCGTGTTTCTTAAGCCTCGGTAATTAACTCGTTCAGACAATCATTGCCAAATAGCGTCTGACGATTTATAAATCAGAAGATGAACACAAAGTGATGAACACGTTTATTCGTGACATACCACCAAGTGAAGGCGGAGAAGCAGTGAATAAAACG